CGAAAACAGAAACGAAAACGTAGTTGGACCACCACTTCAACATCCGATCCGTACCTTATATACCACAACCTAATTTGAATGGGACAACCTTCAAGTATTTACTAGACCTAGAGGTAGGAGCCCAATAACTTTGAAATTTAACCAAGCAATCATCCAAATCGCTCTCTACCTCGATCCAGGTATGGGGGTTTTGCCTAGTGCAAGACCTAATGCCTCACTCACCCACCAATTTTTTGGAAATTTGTGACACATTCAAACAAAATGGTGTTTCTGAAGATGCAATCAAGTTGAGGCTTTTTCCTTTTACTCTTAGAGATAAAGCTAGATCATGGTTACAATCGTGTCCCGCTGGAAGTTTTACCACATGGGATGAATTAGCTCAAAAATTCCTAGCTAAATTCTTCCCATCCTTAAAAACCACCAAGCTGCGTAATGAGATAATGACATTTGCTCATCATGATCAAGAGAGCTTGTACGAAGCTTGGGAAAGATTCAAGGACTTGCAAAGGAAGTGCCCGCATCACAGTTTGCCCAAGTGGCTACAGGTACAAACTTTTTATAATGCACTATCTCCTAATATTAAAATCACTTTAGATGCAGCTGCAGGTGGATCCTTTGAAGGTGGATCCTTTGAAAAGAAAGGAATTTATGAAGCATATGAGTTGATAGAGGAAATGGCAAGTAACAGCCACTATCAAAATAATACCGAAAGAAGAAAAACCGCAGGAGTCTATGAAATAGACGCCATTACAGCACTTAATGCCAAGGTAGATAACATGGTAAGGAAATTGGACATGTTAACTACTAATCCTAGATAATATGGTAAGGAAATTGGACATGTTAACCACTAATCCTGTGAATTCGATTATGCAAGTGTGTGATAGGTGCAATGGACAACATGGAATCGGGGAATGCATCATGGACTCCTTAAATCCGCAGACTTTGGAGCAAGTGAACTATGTGATGAATCAAGGAAGAAAGAATTACCCTTATTCGAATTCATATGATAACAGGTTAAGGAATCATCCTAACCTATCTTATGGTAATCCTAACAATGCTTTGAATACACCCCCAGGGCTCCACCTTCCAGAAAAGAAATCTCATGATGACCTCCTCACTGCCCTCTCCAAATCACAGATGGAATTCATGAATGAAACCAGGGAGAACCATAAAATCCAGCAAGCTGCAATCAGGAATTTGGAGATTCAGTTAGGGCAGTTCGCAAACATGATGGCATCTAAGGTACGTTACCTAGCAATACTGAAAAGAATCCCAAAGAACAAGTGTAGGCTATTACCTTGTGGAGCGGCAAACAATTAGATGAACCACCAAGGAAAGAAAAGGAAGAAAAAGAACAGCCAAAGGTGCCTATCATTGACGTAGAAGAACAAGAAAAGGTAAAACCCTATGTTCCTCCTATTCCCTTTCCCCAAAGATTAAAGAAAGCACAAGATGACAAGAGCTTCCTCAAGTTCCTGGATGTGTTTAAGAAGCTCCAAATCAATATTCCTTTTGCTGAAGCGAAAGCTCTGCTCAAAATGCCTAGCTATGCTAAATTTCCTAAAGATATCCTTGAGCAGAAACAAAAATTGATGATCAAGGAAACGGTATGTTAACCGAGGAGTGCAGTGCAATTATCCAAAACAAAAAACTGCCCTACCAAATAAAAGATCCAGGAAGTTTCTCTATTCCCTTGTAACATTGGTCCCTTGTAACATTGGTAATCTTGACTTTGAAAAAGCTTTGGCAGATTTAGGTGCTAGCATCAATCTTATGTCCTATGAAGTTTTTAAGATGCTTGGTATGGGAGAGCTCAAACCAACAAGGATGTCTTTGCAACTAGTAGATCGTTCAATTAAATATCCTATAGGGATTGTCGAAGACGTACTTGTAAAGGTAGGTATATTCATCTTTCCTATTGATTTTGTTATTCTTGACATTGATGAGGACAGGGAAGGATCTCTAATTTTGGGAAGGCCTTTTCTTGCAACTGCTAGAGCATTAATTGATGTTTATGAGGGTAAGTTGACCTTAAGAGTTGGACAGGAAGAAATTGTCTTTGATGTACTTAAATCGTGTAAACTTCCTATGGACCTGTTTTAGAATTGATGTTGTTGATGAATGTGTGGAAAGCACTCTGCATGTCAAAAATAATATGAATGAACCAAGCATCCTGAATGAAAAAGAAAAGGAACCACCCAAGCATGAATTAAAACAACTTCCATCTCATTTAAAACATGCATTCTTAGGAGCCTCATTAAACATGCATTCTTAGGTGAGGACATCTTTTTCCTTGTTATCTATCTTCTCACTTAACGCTGATCAAGAGGAAAGGTTGATGCAGGTTTTACCGTACACAAGAAAAGCTTTTAGGGTGGTCTTATTCGATTATACAAGGTAAGCCCAAGTGTGTGTTGCATAAAATTCTTGATGGAAGAAGATACCAAACCTTCAATCGAACATCAAAAGGCGATTGACCCGAACATGAAAGGAAGGTAGTCAAGGCTGAAATTATTAAACTCTTAGATGCCGGAATCATTTATCCAATTTCAGACAGTAATTGGGGAGTCCTGCCAAAGTTGTTCCAAAAGAAGGAAGGGAGGTATGACTGTTATCTCTAATGAAAACAATGAATTAATTCCCACTAGAACAGTCACAGGTTGGCGTGTGTGCATAGATTATCGAAAATTGAACAAAGCAACACGTAAGGACCATTTCCCTTTACCTTTTATTGATCAAATGCTTGAAAGACTTGCAGCTTATCCATTCTATTGTTTCTTAGATGGTTATTCAGGATATTTTCAAATACCTATAGCCCCTGAAGATCAAGAGAAAACTACTTTCACTTGTCCTTATTGCACTTTTGCCTATAGGAGAATGCCTTTTGGATTATGCAATGCCCCTGCAACCTTCCAAAGATGCATGATGTCCACCTTTTCTGATATGGTAGAAAAATTTATTGAAATATTCATGGATGACTTTTCTGTATTTGGTTCTTCTTTCGATGCATGTCTTCATAATTTATCCTTAGTTAGTAATGCAACGATTTGAAGGATACTTAACCTTTTGTGTTAAAATGGGAAAAAATTTGTCACTTCATGTTAGTGAAGGTATTGTCCTAGGGCATAAAATCTTCAAAAGGGATTTGAAGTAGACAAGGCGCAAAAAATTGAGCGTTAGATTGAAAAACTACCTCCCCCTAACACTAGTGAAAGCAGTGAAGGGCATAAGAAGTTTTCTTGGGCATGCAGGGTTTTACAGGAGGTTCATAAAAGACTTTTCCAAAATCACTAAACCTCTTTGCAATTTGTTAGTTAAAGATGTTCCATTTGATTTTGACAAAGAATGTTTAGATGCTTTTAATAGGTTGAAGAAGGGGTTAATCTCAGCCCCGATCATCACTACACCAGATTGGACTTTACCTTTTGAACTAATGTGTGATGCTAGTGATCATGTTGTAGGAGCTATTCTTGGACAAAGAAAAGACAAGAAGTTGCAAGTTATTTATTATGCGAGTCGCACATTGAATGATGCGCAATTAAACTATGCAACTACGGAAAAAGAATTGTTGGCTATTGTTAAAAGGAATTATTGGCTATTGTTTTTGCTTTTGACAAATTCCGGGCATATCTAATTGGAGCTAAAACAATAGTTTACACAGATCACTCAGCTATCAAATACTTGCTGGAGAAGAAAGATGCAAAGCCGAGACTCATTCGTTGGGTACTTCTATTGCAAGAGTTTGACCTAGAAATTCGTGACAAAAAGGGGACCGAGAACCTCGTTGCTGACCATCTTTCCAGTTGGGGGAGGAAGATACAAGCGAGCTACAGATCAATGAAAGCTTTCCTCATGAGCAACTTCTTCTAGTAGCAAATGCTCAAACCCCCTGGTACGCTGACATTAGTCAATTATCTTGTTTGCAAAATTCCTCCTCCCAATTTTTCTTATTCAACAAAGAAAAAAAATTTTTTTCATGATATCCAAATTCTACTATTGGGAGGAGCCATTTTGTTTCAAGTTTGCATGATCAGCTTTTCAGAAATGGTATACCGGAGACTGGAAAATAGAAAGTTATCCTTTAAATTTTTTGCCATCTCAACTGGAATGCGAGTCACTTTGGAGGCAGCAAGACAGCCTGCGCGTTCTTATAACTAGAAAGTGGTTTGTATATGCGCCTAATCTTTTTAAAGATGCTTATACATTATTGTTGTTCTTTTGTGGATCGTTGTCAAAGGTTAGGTAAACATTCGAAGAGACATGGAAATGCCCTGAACAGGCATCCTTGCAAGTCGAAATTATTCTTTCGGATGGTATGGGGTCTGGACTTTTATGGGACTTTTCCACCATCATATTCAAATCAATACATCTAGGTGGCGTGGATTATGTGTTCAAAGTGGGGCAGGAGGCTTGTTGCTCTTCCAAATAACGAAGTGCCAAAAGTGTGATGAGCTTCTATCAAGAAAAAACATTTTACAAGGCATGTACTCCCAGGGCGATAATCCGGACGAGGTAAGCATTTTGTAATCGATATTTAGACTTCCCTTGTCTTGCAAAATATGGTGTCACTCATCGTGTAGGGTACTCCATATCATCCTCAAACCAGTGGGACAAGTAGAGGTCACTAACAGAGGAAATCAAAAAGATCCTCGAAACACGTTGGACCAATCACGGAAAGGATTGGTCCAAAAAAAGCTAAGACGATGGCTCTACTGGCCTACAGAACAGCATTCAAAAGCTATAAGGTATGCTCCATATCGCATGGTGTATGTAAGGCTTGTCATCTTTCCTGAGAGTTAGAACATAAGGGCATTTGGGCATTCAATTTCGTCAACTTTTATGCAGGAGGGGACAAAAACGCTTGTTACAGCTAAACATGATGGGATGAATTACGCCTCCATGCTTAATGGAAAGTGGCTAAAATATATAAAGATCGCACTAAACAATTGGGCACGATAAGCGCATATCATGAGGGATCTAAAGGTAGCGCAGGGCAGGTATTGCTCTATAACTCTAGACTTCGATTCATTTCCTGGGTAAGTTGCGCTTAGATTTGGTCTGACCATTCACAATTCAAGGCAAATATTTCCTCATGCGCGATCTTGAAATAGTGGATGGGTAAGTCAAATCGAAGTTTCAGGGTAAATGCTCAACGTTTTGAAGAAGCTCATTTATAATGAAACCTTTGAACCCATCAAGGACTTTACAATTGGTCTGCCTAGCCCTAAACTTCAGATAAGTGCGTCGAACTTAACGACGGTTAAACACAAAGTGCTCATGGGAGACAACCACTCTATTTCTACTTTTTTTTTTTTCTTTTGGTTGAACATGAGTTGGAATGATTAACAAATAAGCTTGAAAGGTTCTCCATGCTCTAGTAATTAAGTACTTAAACAATATTGCATTTCTCATTCTAGGCATATTTAAGTCTAACTTTTGAATTTTGACTCTTAAATATGTTCATTGATCTAAATTATGTTTCTAGATTTCTAAACACTGATTTTATCGAAAAAGTTATGATATATAGGTCGTGTTCACTCTAAGCTATTTTAAACCTCGGCATTCCTAGCAACAACAAAACTTAGAAATCCCTTCGGGGCGAAAAATTCAAATGTTTACGTTTTGAAAGAGATGGATCTTAGGCAATTTTGCTGAAAACCTACTTTATGTTGCCTAGACCACCTACAATTAAATCATACTCTTGAAACCAACTTTGAAGTCTCCAAAAACCGCTAAAAATTCTTCTTCCTTCACCCTCAATAAACCAAGCCATTGAAACCAAAAATTCAAATTTCCCACCCGAAAGTACAACAAGGATCTGATAATAATTAAAAGACTTCGATCTTTAATTAAAAATATAGCAACAAAGAGGGAGAATTTATCAATCAATAACGTAGCAAATAAAGAAAAGAAAGGAAGAATCAAGAAAAGGGGGACGTTTGAATAGCATTCAAAAAATTGCAAGAAAATAGAAACAACGGGCAAGAAGAAAAGTGCCAAAATATTCAAGAAAAGGACTTGTCCAAGATGCCTCTAGCTAGTAAGGGAAATCTTCAAACCAACGGACACTCCCTTAGAAACTAGTTAAAAAGTTTAATTAAAACGAGAATCTTGAATGTTTATACAGTCTTTTGTACTCTTTGTTTACATTTTCTATCCCTTTCTTTTGATAAGCAAAATCTTACACCAAGAAAAGCCCCATTACAACCCAAAATAAAAGGACTTCTGATTTTTAATCGTATGCATTTATAATCGTGGAGAAAGGATGGACTAATTTAACAGTATGGGATTTCGCCACTTCTATCCCCAATTGTCTTATTTTTTTCAATGCTTTAGAATTGATTCATGACCTCGTTTATCTAATTTGAATAAAGTATTTAGTGTTGACAATCTCTTTTAAATTGTATTTTCTCAATGAATTGTTTATCAAACAAAAAATAAAAGTCAAAACTTACAGTATGTTAGCATGGAGAACGATTCGAGTTTATTCACTTGTTTACTAATCATTGTATCATGAAAGATGATGGAAATCACTTTCCAACCATGTTAAACTAGTACTCGTTCAAAGTTATTTTTTCTTTCAGCTTTTGTTGACTGAGGACAAGCAACTGGTTTAAGTTTGGGGATTTTTTGATAAGGTGTAAATTTATAGATGTTTTTAATTTTAGTTTTTATTTCTGAATTTTAGTAAGTTTTATTGCTTTATTTGATTTTAGAATTTTTGTTCAAAAGGCTTGGTCTCAGATCTTTAATTCCACTTGATCTTAAGAGAAAATTGCAGGAAAAGACTTTATAATTCAAGGCTTAGCAACCTAGCACGCCAAACCGTGCTAAGTGGCACGCCCAAAGTCGACGCTACGAAGCAGGTCCAACAAAGAAAAACGCCAAAGTCGAGAGCGCGACTTTCCAAGCGCGAGCGCGACAGTTAGAAAAGAGGTCATAGATTCGCAAGAAAAATCGCGGATCCGGGGCGACATGATATCGCGGGCGCGATGAAGGTTGCCGAGCCAGCTTCTATTACACGGGCAGGCTGAAGTTACAGAGCGCGACCTTCTATACACGGGCGGCGAAGCTGAAGTGCGGGGCGCGACATTGCATTATAC